AAAGGAAAGAATATGATTCGAAACAGAATGCTGACACACAATCTTAGAATATATTGTTCTCAAAATGTTTTTTAAAAATGTTAACATAAATGATTAACAATATAATTGTTATTATTAACAATTAATAATCGCATATATGTAATACATGTAATTGCAGTTTCTATTTTTAATTTTTTTTTCACATCGATATTTCCATTAAAAAAATCGTCTCTGTTTGTTCCCTTGGTCTCTTGAACGTATTATAAAGCTCATTTCAGTGAGTAGCGGTGCCAATTACTATTTCATTTCTAAACTTAATTACGGACTACAAATTGAAACAAATGAACACAATTATTTATGGGTAGATATGGGAAATATTAAATCAAACTATGCAAAATTGCAAAAATTGCAGATGGAATGCAACGAAAAAATAAATAATCGAGAAACTGAAAGTAAAAGAAGGAAAATGGAACTCAAAGACGAAGCTCTTAGGCGGGATGCTGAAAATGCAAAAAGGAAATGAAACTCGATCTCGAAACTCGTAGGCAGGAAACTGAGCTTCGTAACGATGAGCTGAAGAAAAACTATGAACTGCAAGTAATGAAAGCTGATATGGCGCATCAACACAAGATTGCTGAATTTGATAACGCAAATGAAACAAACAAATTTACAAACGGGGAAAGAAATTGTGCTTGCTCACTTATATGAAAACAGTGAACGTGATTATCGGACAGAATATCACCTTTTTGTGACCTCCGTGCCCCTTATATAAACTAACTCAAAGATGAAAAATTGTCCGACGAAATCAAGGAGACTATTCAAAAAAGTTATTAATAAAGCTTTGTTTTAAGGCTGGCTGGATAATAAAGCGCTTCTAGATTACACGAAAACACAAATTAATGAGAATTTATACGGTTGTTTGATCGTAGAATCATCACGCAACAAAATAAAAATATCTTCTGGAATGAAAACGTGTAGCATAACTATCGAATATTTAATATATCTGAGTTTCAACGCTAAATAAATGAACGTTAGTTTTGTTGCTCTTAGGTTAAAGATGTTATGCTGCTGAGCCGTGTCTCATTGTCATTTTCGAAGGAAAGAAATATTTTTGGTTCTATCAGACTTCGTTTACATTGTTTCCATATCTCGAGGGAAATCAATTCATGTGACGTTTTACAGCCCAACCTCATGCGATATTTATTTGCTTAGCGTTAGACTTTTATGATTGTATTACAGTTGAACCCCCTTCGATATAACTAAATTTTTTTCAGTTCCTTTGTATTAAATAAGTCTTGACATATTAAAACCTTAATGAATTTGGAACTAAAAGCTCAACTTCTTCGTTATTATATTGAGGTTCAACTGTACATGAATGTTAATAAAAAATTAAAATCGAATTCCTTGCGTAACATAGATAAATAATAAAATAAATGAAACATGTAAAAAATTCTTTTCTTTGACATAGCAGATAATATAAAAACTGTTTAAAAAATAGTGTAGTAATTTAACAAAATCATTTTTTTATAACCTTAAGAGTTCATTTTTCTGACAATGACAGATAAAATTTATAATTGATGGATTTCAAGTTTTCTAATCTGTAATATGCAAATTTTTTCAATATCAATAGAATGCACAAATTTTTTAATCAACTCAACAAAGAAATTTTGACTAATTCTATCTCACACCAATATCTTATTCTTATCCTGACTCTGATCAGACATAATGAAAATTTGAAATCAAATTAAGAAATTTGGAACTTGATTCATTAAAACTGATCTCAAATCAACATGCAAGATGAAAATTTCTTGTTAGAATACAATATATAGTTTTATGGACAAAATTTAAGCTAATTTTTATTTATTTTCTATTACAATATTTTTTTAATATGAATTATGTGATATTCATATAGGTTGAATAGATATCAAATAATAATCAGCTTATATAATTTTATTGAAGATAAATATAATAATTATAATAATATTATTTTTTTTAAATTTCTTTTTATATTATTTTTCATCTTTAAAACAAATCAAAAATAGATTATTTTATTTAGAGCAGATATTTTTCTAGTTATTTAAAATAGAAGAAATAGATATATTTTGTTTAAGTTTTGTAATTATCAAGTATTATTTTTCAGAATGTAAATTAAGATATTAATATTATAAATATATTTTTCTTTTTTCTTTCAAATTGAATATAATGAATAGAATTTCTAGTTAAAATATTAAATCAGACTTTTTATTAAATTTAAATCAGAATTAAATTTAAGCTTATATTAATATAGATTTAAAAATCAAATCAAACTTGAATTAAGTTATTTTTTCAAGTTTAATTTAATGTAAGATTATTTTGTTAATGGTTGTAAACAAGATAAAATGCAATATGAATAAGTTTTAATTTTATAACTTATAATATTTAAAAGTATTCAGATCTGAGTCTAAAAGTACAGAACAGAGAGGTCTTATTTATAAGAAAGAAATA